CCCCGCAGGCACTGGGACAGGGTTGGTGACAACCTTGTATTCAGTGTCTCTTCTCAGTCATGGTATTGTTTGCCCCTGCAGAAAAACTCTTAAAGGACAAGGTAACATTCTCCCCTTTCTACAAATGAGGAAATTGAGGCTCAGAAGTGAAGAGCCTTGTCTGGATGTAAATCCTATTTTTCCATCATATCACAGTGCCTCTGAGAAAAGCCTCTCCGTTCTCAAACCAGCCCAGTGCAGGGCTGGGAAGGGGAGGAGAAGCAGTAGAGCGCTGTGCCAGTAGCCTCCTCCAGGGCCCTTCCATACTGCGCCCTGCACTCTGACACACCTGTCTGCAGCTTCAGACCTGCAGATGGAGGTCTGGGTGGAGTCACAAGAACTGAGAAAAGAGGAGGAACAGTGTAGGCTCTAAGCAGGAGGGAAAGTGTGGTCTACCTAAAGTGAAGTAAGACAGGGGCAGCAAGTAGATGGGCCACAGGCGTGAGGGAGCCTGGCATTGCAAGAGCTCCGTGGACCTGGTAAGGAGGGCCGTATAATAAAGTCACGCAAGAGCCTTGGATTTTATCCTGAGTGTCATGTTGCACTATTATCATGCGTGAGCCAGTGGGGGGTGTAGGGAGCCCTGCACTACTGCTGGGTGTATTTCAGGAGAGAGGGGAGAGGCTGATGGATACATCTAGTCCACCGGAAGTACTCGACTTCTGCTCTGCAGGGGATCTCAGAGTATTCCCCATATTTTTAGAGCAAATGATAAGATGTTTTTCCAGTGATGCTACACTTCATTTGTTTAAAAGAAATTTCTGGTGCCGTCTGAAAAGTCACAAAATCATACCTTATTCTCTTATGCCAAGCTCTAGTCCTTTTCTCCAGCCTATTAGTGAAGTTCATTGATCTTCTGCTAACAGGAAAGAGAATATGAAATATTAAAATGCTCAGTCTGAGGTGTAGCTCACAGGTAAAGCATTTGTCTAGCATGCATTAGGCCCTGACTTGATCCCTAGCACCAAAAAAAAAAAAAAGTTCAACTAGAAATGCTTTAGAATATCTGTTGAGGAAGTAGCTCAATTAATAGTGAAAAGTCAGCAAGAAAATGAAAATGCTAGGGCTGGGGATTTAGCTCAGTGGTGCTGCCACCTGCCTTGCAAGCACAGGGGGGTGGGGGAGAAAAAAAAAGAATGAAAATGCTGAGTACTATACAAAAGAAAGTAGTAAAGGAAGAATAGAGAGATAAAAGACATGAGCCATACTGAAGACAAGCATTAAGTTGACAGACAAACTATATCAGTAACACAATTAAATGTGAATGGACTAAACAGTCCAGTCAGGTAGCAGTGATTATCAGACTGGATTTAAAAACAAATTAGCTATGTGCTGGACAGACAAGATAAAGAATAGAAATACAGTAGAAAAATCAATGAAGAACCACGCCTGCTCCCGACCCAGCCGCCATAGCTCAAGCGCCGGGAAGGTAGCCGCGCGGGTGCCCCTGAACCCCCATAAGCTCCCCCCTCCCCGCACTCTCAGACCTCCTGACTGTGCAAGTCTTTGGACCCACTCTGCAAAGGCAGAGGTGGTCATCAAGGGTATTTTTCTGAGTTCCCAATTTTGAACATCTTTAAAGAAAGGGCGTGGGAAACCTGTAATAGAATGTTGCAGAGTTTTACCATTCAGAAGGATGGGGAACTCAATCTGGGCCTTGCAGCCCGAGGTCAGTCAGCGTCATGGGGTTCAGCAGTCAGCTAACTGAGATCAGGGGTCTTGCATCCTCGCTCTGCCTGAGCCATTAAATGGTAAATATACTATATTGAAAATTTTGTTCACTGCAGACATGTTCTGGACTGCTTCTTGATTTCATTTTAATTCATATGATTTAAGGGTGATAGACTAGTGACTACCACAGGTGGTCAGTGTCCAAGTTGTGCTTGATCTTAATGTGTTGCTGTTTGTATCAGTTGGGGTAAAGCATTGCCGTTGATTCGATGAGCTGTTTTCTCTGATGTTATGAAGATGAGAATATCTGTGGGTCATTAGAGACGCAGAAGCTAGGGTGCAGCTATATCAGGAAGATTTGGGTGATAATCCAGAGATTAAACCAAGGACAGTCTGACAACAAAAATAAAAATGAGAAAACACTTAAGCAAGACACGAGGACAGACTTCTAGTTCACCAATGGCAAACAGTAGGGCAAATGAGGATGAAAAGGCCGATAGTGAACCACCAGGACACCCTGAACTCAAAGCACAGGAAGTAACAAAACAGATCAATCA